AGCCAAGAGATATGTATTAGGCAACGGCAGGAAGAAAAGCTTAGCTCCACTTAAGTCACTACGCTACGCTAGCTAGAATTTTATGTGGCTATTTAAAGAATATTAAATTTTAACCATAACCATATTTACTTTGCAGGCTGTTGCGTAGATAAGAACGGCTCAGTTTTACCGATTTAAACGCTGGTCCTTAAGTTTAAGACATGCAATAAACAAAATAAAGTAAAACATGCTGGAGGGATCGATACAAATTTGCTCAACATGCATATAATAATCGTGCATTTTTTTTTCGATCAACGCAAGTGACGAATTTTTTTTCTTAGCTCCATTTGCTTCACATTGCAATTGAAAATAATTAATAGCCGATTTCTCAGTTGATAAATAACTATAAGCCAACAAATAATTAGTAAATCAATAGTTAACTGCACAATGTTGGCAAATTAAATATGAGTTAATTATATATTAAGTACACTGAGAAACTGACACGAGAGAGATAATCTTTAGATTTTAATTAAACGTCTACTGAAAAATCGGCTGTAAATAATACATTTTTTGAATAATTTGTAATGGTATTTTTAGACACAGATTGTAGAAAATAATCGAGATTTAAAGCTAACTTGATTTCTTTTAACCACCATGTTTTATACATATCTACATACTCTGTGTGACCTTTACATAGGAAAAAAGGAACATGGCTGGGCCACGCAACGAAAGTGATACATAGTGCGCTTCGTAATGCTAAAAAATTCTATATGAATTTTTAAGTTTAACATTGTCTTTGTTTTTGTCTCCGCCTTTGTCATTGCCATTTGTCTTTAACTTTGCCTGCTGCGTAGCAAGTTTCGATAATTAACACTTAAGGCCGAGGCCCCGAAATGAGCGGCAAAGCGGCGAGCGGCTTAATATAATTGAAGTGGTCGAGCAATGAGTTACATTTCTGAGTGGGTGAGCAGCGCGTTGCTCATTGTGTGGCCTCGGGCCGGTTTCTCTGGTTTTGGTTAACTCTAACTGCAGGTCAAACATCGTTATCTACTCCATAACATATAACAGACCGTCGATAACGAAGGTATTATAAATGTGTGTGCGTGAATGAATTCGGACATTTTCTGACCAAACCCAGCAGCACGAGAACAAACTAATTAATGCATATAGGCGATAATAGAGAGAAGAAGCATCACTTTTTCACTTTCACTTCAAAAATTTGGCGCTTGACACATTTTGCTAAGTGCTTGATGGACTTTCTTTTCCATTTTACGATGTGCAACTTGTTATTGTAACACAAACGAAGCCTCCGAACGGCAGATAGTTTTTTGATAAGCTTTTCATTGCACAAATAAGTATGTATATGCGTAGGTGTGTCATTGTCTGACGAGGTTCCACCGCTAGTAGTAACAATCTCTTTAGATGGTATGGATTATATGGTTCAAAATACATAGAGGGTACTCTCGGAGTCTAGCAAAGTCCCTGCACGGTGCACGGATTGCATGGTTTGCAATCGGTTGCCCCATAGGAAAACCGGTTTTTGGGCTGCAAGCCGTGCAATCCGTGCTAGGGCCTTGCAAGACACCGAGAAAACCCCTCTAGATAAAGAGATTCGAGTTTACGTAGTAAAAGCGCATTGAACGCAGACTTAGCAGACATGCATGACATCGAGTATTAGCATGTAAAAATTCATGTTGTTCTCAATCCCAAAATATCTAAATAGGTAACGGTACCCAATGAGCAGACGGTACAGCAGGTAAAAGTTCCATAATAGAAGTACATATATACATACATACATATATGCAAATAAATGCAACACACGCCACTTAAATATAAAATATCTGGAAAGTTGATTAGCATGTAGATAAGTACATACGCACAATGTACGTAGAATATAATATCTACATAGAATAAAACAGAAGTAAGCAACCAAGTATCCTTTCGTTGTACTAAGTACAACCCACGAAAAAACAAATTTTGTCAACATTTTGAATTTTATTTTGTTTGTTTAGTGTTCATTATTTTTTTATAAAATATAGCTCATTATATAACAAAACCAATTTAAGTCCAAATTTCAAAGTTTGAAAAATTCCACACACTTTCATCAACAAAATTCCAAGCTTTTTAATTAGAAATTCTTGAAAAATTGTTGGTATTAAGTTTTTTAGATCTTTAAATTTAGTAATGCAACTTCGAAGTTGCTAAAAAATCCCGTTGAATTTTCAATAATTTTTTTGTTTTTTTTTTTGCTGGGGGTGCTATGCACTTTCATCCATATAAAAAATGACTTTGTATGGAAGACAACATCGTTAGCAAAAACAAAATGTTATCAAAAATCAACGGAATTTTTTAGCAACTTTAAACTAGATTTTTTCTAAAATTGCCGAATGAAAAGTTTGAAATTTTGGTGCAAAATTTGTTGAATTTTCCTAATTTTTCAACAAATTTTGGAATTTAGATTTATAGGTTTTTTGTAAAATAATGAGCTATACTTTTGTAAATAAAAAAATAATGAGCGTTAAAAAACAAAAGAAAATTAATCAACACCGCCTAAAATGTTAATGTGCTATCTGTTGTCGTGGGCTGTACATACATACATACATACATGCATAGATATGTACATATCGATCATTTACTTCAATTGTATAGATGGTGTTATAATATAAATTTTTAACTGAGTTTGCAGAAATTACCGCTACCTTTTTTCTATGTTGTGTAAAAATTGCATAGCTGTATAGATTAATAATAGCTCATTAGAAGAAAGTATATGTAAATTCAAAACTTTTAAAGTCAATTTTTCGAGTTTTGCTTTTTTGAGTTATGACACTATTGAAGTAAATGAGCGATATGTATCTACATACATATATACATGCGTTCTTATACTATATCTGTGAACTTTTGAAAAATCAACTTAAGTAATTTTGCCTGTTTGTGATTTCTTAAATAACTTTTAAGATGTTGTTGAACTTCTGTATGATCAATCAATACTTTAAATTTTGGAAAGATGTTCGAACATTTAGTGGTTTAGAGAAAAAACGGCCGAACTCTACTTAAGTTGTTCCTCCAAATGTCGTCAGATATGAAAGATCAAGATGCAATTAAAAGTGTGTAAGCGGTTAGAAAGAGCGAGAGAGAGAGAGAGAGAGAGAGAGAGAGAGAGAGAAAGAGTGTGTGTATTTGGGTGTAGGTGTGAGTGTCTGTGTGTTTGAGTTATGGATGAGTGACTGCGCTAACCGGTTCCATCGTTATTGTTCAAGCCCATGTAACTCGGATTATTTATGGAGTTGTTATTGGTAGTGAAATGCCACACAGTGCGACTAGTCGCCGTTGTAGTAGTTGTCGTCGTTGGCGACGACCCGGTGTTATTCGTATGCATCATGTGTTTACCATTATTGTTGTTGTTGCTGTTGCTGTTGCTGTTGCTGCTACCACTTGAATTCGAACTTGTTGAAGTGGTTGTGTGTAGAGTGCGCTTCGCGGCTGTGACACTCGACGGAGTGCCGATACCGCTCGATTCTACCTCTATGAATTTGCGCGAGGCATCCGCGCGTCCACTCGCCACGGGAGTGCGCGACGTCACATGCTGCTGAGTGCGCATATAGCTTCCTTGTGACGAGTACATATCTGACGGTTGTGGGTGTTGTTGCTGCTGCTGGTGCGGATGCTGCATTGCGGCAGCGTTCAAAGCATTTATACGCTGTTGAATTTGTGGATGGTGCGAATGAGCGCTTCCCACAGGTGGCATAGTCGTAGGCAAAGGTGGAGGATTTTCTAATTTAAGTTTTGTTTTTTTTTGGGTGGATTGATCAAGAATGAACGTATGAATGAATTGGTTTACATACATACATACATATACAGTAATTGAGAGCTAATATATATTAAAAATTCTGGGATTTATTCATTGATATCGCTTTGGACAAGGACAATTGATTTTCGTGTTAAAAAGGTGGTTGACGTGAATTAGAACTAAAATCGGATTAAACCGAAAGTGCGTATTTACCTGATTGTCTAGCCTCACTGTTGCGTTTTAGCACTACATTGTCTTCATTTGAACCGTTTTGAATGCCGGAAATGCCTGCGGGTAATGTGGAAGACTGCAATCGTGTTGAGTTGCCGCCATAGTTGGATTCGCTCAAGTCTGTTCAAATATGGTGCAGTCAATTAAAATGTATGGAGTCCAAAAAAAAAAAACGCAAAAAGATCTTACCATTGCTGGAGCTGTTTCGATTTCTCAGCACTACTAAATTTTCGGTACTTTGTCTATGTGGTACTGGCGGAGGTGCACCTCTGGGTGGTATTGGCGGCTTCTGCTCGAAACCATACGATGCCGTTGGAGAGGATGGTGAAGCCTGTTTGAATTTATTTTGAAATTGATACTAAACCCGCAAAAATTCATCAACAAAATTGGAAGCATACCCTTTGTTGCTGTTGCTGTTGCATTTGTTTTTGCAGGAAATTCATTTGTGGTGTCGCTGAACTTGCCGACATACCGCTATTGATCGAGTCGTTGCGTGAGATGGCACGCCTTTGCGAGTCCGGCGACGATGTTCGCGAGCTCACCGGCGACTCTATCTGACCACTGGCTACCTTAATATCTGGGAAACTGTTCGACTGTTGCTGTAAGAGAAAAAAATATATATATCCATTCAGGGAGGTCCTTCATACCTTCATCCACAGATATATGTATTTGTATACCTTCATTGATTCATCGTAACTCAGAAGCTGTAGATTTGGTGGCAGACTAGCATGGAAAGATATCTTACGCACCCAGTCGTTCATGATGTCTAACGACGGCGCTTCGAAGAGGAACTCGGATCCGTCGGGCAGCTTCAACCTGAATACGTACTTCTTTTTGGTGTAGTCTTCGGCGCGTTCACATTTGGCGCCGAGTATGTTGACTGGAGCGTTTGCCGTTTTCTGCTGCAGAAAATCATTTTCATCTTTGAAGAAGCACAAGAGTTGACCACAGAGTACTGTATGGAATTGCTTCCAGGAACGCACTGGTGCCTTTTTGCCGCCCGATTGCAGGCCATGTTTGCGCTCGAGCATTCCTTGTATTTCGACAGGTGGCAGATCGAATCCTTCACCTTTTTGGTTCTTGCGGAACGATTGCGCACGACGGCGTGTGGTAAAAGATGGTGTGCGTTTCGGTTGCTTTTGTTGTACCTTCATACTTTCCGCGCGTTTCACATTGGTGTCAGAGCCGCGACGTAAGCGATCACCGAACATGCCGCTCGAGCTGCTCTTCTGCAGTGAATACTGATCCTCGTCGAAGGGTGAACGTAGTGGCGATGCGGAAATGGCTGGAGATTGCGGTATGTTGTTGGTGTTGACAGCGACCATGGGCGTGGAGAAGATGGGCGTCTTTTCTTGGGCCGCAGCATTTTGGCGGTTTTCCAATTGCTTCTCCGCGCGCCTTCGTTCGTCGTTGAGTCGCTGCAACTCTTTCTGTTTGAGCATCTCGAGTCGTTCCTTCTCTAAGCGTTCCTTCTCCTTCTGTTTGGCAAGTTTCTCGCTTTCGACTTGTTTGCGGAACCGTTGCTCAAGCAGTGTAATGCGCTTGATAGCTTGGAACTTCTCCTCTTGCGCGGCGACGGTTTTTTCGAAGTCTTGATGACGGCGCAATAAATCTTCAACCTGCGGTATCGAATCACCCAATTTGGCATCTTTCAGCAAAGGTTCGCGACTGATTATCCAGTTTTCGAGAATCTCAGCATCTTTAAGGAAGATTTGCGTATCCAAGTTGAGTTCGTAGATCTCTTTGCGCTGTTGCAGTGTGTTTTTCAAAAGTTCGTGCCGTTGCTGTAGCACTTGAATCTTCTCTTCGATTTCGTGTGCAAGAAAATGCTTCTCATTTATTAGTTTCTGTCCATCTGCCGTGAAGTTAGCAAAGGTCTCATCGCGTGCATGTATCTCGGCGTGGTGTTCTTTCACGCTAGCCAGCAATGACTCTGCACCTGCCACAGTTGTTGCCAAATCTGGTGCTGTTATCTTGGCCAGCATCTCATTGATCCAGGCAATCAAGTCACGATATTCATCGAAGTAGGATTGCAAATGTTCTGCCTGTTGCAGTTTTTCTTTGCGTGCGTTTGTCTTTTCCATTAGGTCGGTCCATGCTTCCACCGTTTCGTCTCTTTTCACTTCGATGTGCTCCCTTGCGTCTGGATATACTTCCCCTAGTTTTGTAGCTTCCACAAGCACTGAATCAACTTGTTCCTTGATAGCCACAAGTTCACCTTCGAATACCGAGTGCTTGCGGCTCAACGCTTGTATACTCTCCAAGTCTTGTCCGTAATCCTCTGAGATAAGTGAAGCCTCCTTCTCGTTGATCAGCGAAATCGTTTCATCGGCCACGCGATCATAGACGTGTACTTGTTTTGCGCCAGCCAGTGCATCTTGCCGAGCATTGACTAGATCCTTGAGCTCTTCCCACAGTTGCTTGGTCTCGTCCCGTTTGGCCTTAATCGAGGCGCGGTAGGGATTATTCTCTTTGATAAGCTCATCGCCGTGGTTCAAACAAGCTTGCACCCGTCCTTGATTGGCATTCAAATTAGATACGAACGACTCGAACGCCAAGATTAGTTGTTCAACGTGCTCAACGTCCTCTCCATAGTCCTCAGATGCGGTTACCGCCATCTGATCGCCAATCCACTCATGCAAATCTTCAGCCTCGCGCAAGTACTCGAACAGTTTTTTACATTCGCTCAAGCGCACTTCACGGTCTTTAGCCAGTCGCAGCAACTCTTCATACTGTTTTGTTACTGTTTCATTCTTCGTGGTGATATTGGCACTATCAAAGTGATTACGCTCAACCAGGCCGGTGGCAAGTTTGTTGACCTTCTCTATAGAACTCTTAAACGCTATCAACTCGCGTTGCAGTACTTCCAGTTTCTTTTGATGCGATTGCACGGAAGTCTCGTCGCGACCATAGTCGCTGGAAGCAAGTATCGGCCGTTTTTCACGTGTCCACGCTTCGGCTTCATTCGCCTCTACATAGAACATTTGACTCTCCACCGCGTCTAAAAGTCGCAATCTACGTATACTGGCGACATCTCGCAGGTTAACGAGTTTCTTCTGCAGCAAGTCGCACTTGTATTGCACCTGTTCACTGGCGAAATGGTCGTCGCGTATCATCTGGTGGCCACGCTGTAAGAGCGCTTTGATGAGCGGCTCCTGCGAAAGAATCTCGGCCTCGAGGCCCTGATGTTTCTTTTGGAGAACTTGCACAGCTATGAGACTACTACCCAGATCTTGCGCATTGGCGATTGCCTCCTTTTCAGTAAGCCATTGAAGTTCATCTTCAGCGTCACGCAGGAATTGTTGGAGGCTCAACGAATCTTCGAGATTTTCCCGGCGAATGGTAATGGGTTCATGTAGGGTGCGATAACGTTTGATTGTTGTCATAGCGCGCTCGTGAATTTCGTCCTTAAGGAAGTGATCGGCTTGGAAGAATTTTTCGTCGGTCTGTTTGATTTGGTCGGCCAGGTCGTTATGATGCGTCACGTCGGCTTCAAGGCGCTCATGTTTTTTAATCAAATGATTTACTGTGGCTAGATCTTTGCCATAATCTTCACTCGACAAATGTGACTCCACTTCGTCCATCCAGTTATTAAACTCATCCAGACTGCGGTTGAATGCCTGCGCTTCGTAGGCTTGATTCAGTTTCTCTCTCTTTGCCTTAGATGCCGCCTTCAGTTTATTCCAATCGCTTTCAAGCATTTTCAGTTGTTGAGCTATTTCCTCCTTGGCAAAGTGCTCGTCCTTGATTAGGCGCTCGCCTTCATTGATTACGTCCTTAACACGCGATGCATTTGTCAATAATTCGCTGTCAAAAGTGGTGTGCTTTTGAATTTTACTTTGCAAGTTGTTCGGCTCGCGGTAGTTCTCATCCAGCGCCAATTGCATTTTTTGTACCAACCAACGGTCGATTTCGTATAGGCTACGAAGGAATTCGTGCAGTTGCAACGACTGCAATAACTTTTGTTTACGTTCCAGAGATAAGGCGTTCAGCTTCTCCTTTCGTCGCAGAACATAGCTCAGCTTTTCGGTTATGACGTCAGCGTCCTTGGGATCACCTTCTAAAATGCTTTTCGCGAACTTTTGCAGTTCGGTAACGTTGTCCGAGTCCAACAATTTCTCAAAGGCGTCATGCTTTTTGATCAGACGTTCCACAGCGGGATAGGAATCACCCAAATCATCGTTGTTCAGGAAAGCCTCCTTGTTAGCCAGCCAGATCTCAACCTGCTCTACCTGAGCCTTGAATAAGTGCAGTTGATGTGCTTCGGTCAAATCCCTGGCGCGTTCATTCCACGCCTCGTGCAGAGTGCTATGCAAGTCCTCGAGTATCATCAAATATTGCTTCACGTTTGCTGGTTTTTTCATGCCACTGAGTGTTTCGCCATGAGCTTTTAAATCTTTGAAAGCCTTATCTCGCCCGTCAATTTCCACCTTACGCTCCTGGTGTAGCTCCAATTGCGTCTCGCAATCATTTATAGTCATCGGCGCTTGAGCAGCATTCATTTTCTTTATCATGTCGTTAAGCCAGAGCTCCAGCTCCTTTACGTCAGAGACAAATTTATGTACCAGATAGGCATCATTGAGAATAGCTCGTCGTTTTACAGATAAATCTTGTAGATTTTGCCAGGATGTGCGCAGCTCGTCTATTTTGTGCTCGATGTCTGTGACGCGGTCGGGATAACGTTTCAGTAGAGCCTGCGCAACGAGTTCATGCTCGCCGATCTTTTGTTTCACTGCTGACATGTCACGCTCCAGGGCATCTTCACGGCGAATTAGGGTTTCCACAGCTGCCAAATCACGTCCTGTATCATCGGAACTCATGGCCAGTGCTTTCTCGGCAATACGATCGGCTGTGTCGTCGACATCGCGGTTGAAAACGTGTATTTCATTGGCTTCCCCGAGTAGAGCCCTGTAGGCGTTCAGTGCACCTTGCAGCTGACGCCATTTGCTGTTGAAGTCGCGACGACGCTTGTCAATATTCTTGGTCTCAGCCGGCACCTCACCTTGACTAATAAGCTTGTCAGCTAAGTTATTGATATGCTTAACACGTTGATCATCAACACGCATATCTGAATCCACGTCATCCAGTTTGCGTGTGAGAGCATTGCAGTGCTCCAGATCTCGGCCAGTGTCACTAGCCTGAATCATCATTTCCTTGTCGCGGATCCAAGCTGAAATCTTGTCCAGCTGATTATTGAATTCCAATATGTCTTGTGCTTCTTCGAGACCACGTCCACGATTGTCCAATTCTTCGAGCAAACTCTTCCAAGCAGCAACAACTCGTTCAACCGCTTGCTTGATCTCCTTCGAAGACTCGTGCTGTTTGGTCAATAGAATCAAACCAGTTTCTTGTATTTCTTGGATACGGCCTTGATTGGCGGCAACCTCAGCTTGGAAGGCCTGATGTTTTTGAAGTTTCTTTATCTTCTCGTCTAAATTGGACACTTCCGCATAACTGGCTGCATCAGCTTCGAGTTTCTTCTTTTTCTCGTTTATCCAAGATTCAGCCTCGGCACAATCGCGCACAAACTGGGCATATAAGAGCGCATCCTCCAATTTGTATCGCCGCACTGCGCAGAGATCCTTTACTTTTTGTCGGCGCGCCAAAACGCCTTGTAGGATTGTTTGAATGTTTGCACTGTCGTAATGACGCTGTTCGATCAGTTTGCGACCATGCTCCTGCAACAAAGCGACTTTGTCTTCTTGTGTCTGTATGAGACGTTCGAATTCGTCATGTTTCTTTATCTGGTTTTGAACGTCTTCGACTGTCTGACCAAAGTCCGAGCTGCTGAGCGCGGCTTGTTGCGAGCTTGAAAGATTGTCAATTTGTTTCGCGTCGCGTAAGAAACAGAACAGATCAATCTTCTGTTCCAGCATGATCTTCTTCTTATTCCATGCCGCATGTAACTTCTGACGTTCGTCCAACATAGCCGCGCATTTTTCTTCTACTTCTGCAGCAGCGTAATGACCAGTTTGCACCATCGAATCGCTTAACTCATTCAAGTAGCGGAATTTATCCTCTCGTGCTTCGATTTCACCGTATATAGCGTCATGCTGGATCTTCAACGCAGTCGCACCAGCTGCATCGCTGACATGCTCTTCAGCCTGCAGAGCGGCTCGCAGGTGAGACGACCACGACATGATGTCACGTACATCTGTAAGGAAGGACTGCAGATCCGAACTGGCGGCCAAGCGATCACTGCGTGCTCCGGAGCGCTCCTTCAAATCATTCCAAGCAGCTACGACCTTATCTTGTTGTTGAGCTATAGCAGCGGCGTTCGAGGGATATTTCGATTGCAGGCGTACAGAATCCTCAACCAAAACCTGCAGTTGTGCTTCCAAGGCGACGAGGTCATTTTCGAAACCTTCGTGTTTTCGCAACAGTGCTAGTGCTGAGTTCAAATCTCTTCCGAGCTCAGAGGAGAGTGCGGCGTTCTTGTCTTGGATGCGGAAGAGCGCCTCCGCAACGTCGCGATGAAAACGATGTATTTCTCCGGCAGCGTGTAATTTTTGCTCGCGTTGGTTGAGTAATTTTAGCAGATTTTCCCAAGAATCCCTAGAATTAGATATACAAGTATGAATGTACATACATATGTCTTGGTAATTGGGGAAAGAATGAAAATACGTGTGTAGCATAATGATGATCTACTCACCTCAACTGTTCTTGACGCCTCTCCACATCTGTGGCGTATGGACTCTCTGTGTCGATAAGTTTCTTGGCCAGTACTTCACACTGATTCACTCGATCCGAACCCACTTCCACGCGATGTTTTAGATCATCGAACTTATTTTGCAGCAATTGGAGATGTTCATAGTCTTGTCCATAGTCCTCAGATGAAGCTGCCTGTTCTTGTTCCTTAATCCATTGTTCCACCTCATCCGATTCCAGGAAGTATTCGTGCATGTATAGGCTCTCCATCAAACGCATTTGTCGTTGTTGCGCCAATTTATGTAGTGATTTAAACATTTTTTCGATAAGTTGTTGTTTCGCAGCAAGAATTTTACTGTCCGGATGTCCAGCGGCCACCATGGCGGCACAATTGTGCCCCATTTCGGTGACAATACCAGAGTACGTGTCCAGCTCCAGTTCGATTGTCTTGTGTTTGGTCAGCAATTTGGCGGCAGAGTCGCGATCTCGCCCATACTCAGTGGAGCGCAGGACGTTGCTTCTCTCACCCAACCAAGATTCAATCTCCCCGGCGTCGGACAAGTACTGCTGCGCCTTAAGTGACATCTCCAGCTTCTTACTGCGATCATTTGAATTGCTCTCCAAGTCAGCCCAGGCATCTTCCAACTTAGCACTCAAGGCTTTTACATTCTCTTTTTCGGGATGATTTTGTGCAATCAGCGTTTGACCGGCTTGCAAAGCTTTGTTGATCATGGGTTGATGCCCCTTAACTTCGGCCTCGAGTTTTTTATGTTTCTTCGAGAGAGTTTGCGCTTGGTGGAGGTTTTGACCTAGCTCCTTAGACTTAGCTGCTGGCATGTGATCGTTGATCCATTGGAATTCGGCATCTAGCTCAAACACGAACTTGTGGTAATTCAAGCTCTCTTCGAGTTCCTCGCGACGTTTTTGTACTGGTTCGCGTAATAACTTAAAGCGATTTTGTATATCCTTTGTTTCATCTTTGATGTGCACTGCATTGAAATGACCTTCATGTGCCATCTCGTCACCAGTACTAACTAGTTCGACGATCTTTTGTTCCCACACCGTTATCTCAGACTCGAGTAACTGATGTTTGTTTATCAAATCTTTGCAACTGCGCAGATCGGTGCCAACGTCCTTGCTTTTTAGTGCAGCATCTAACTCGGCCACCTTTTGCTTGGCATCATCAATGGCGCGGTTATGTTCACGCTGCGATACGGCCTGTTCCAGTTTGCGTCCCTTGTCTTCCGAGAGCGCCAATAGATCTCTCCACTTTTGGTTCAAGTCGACCATTCGCCTCTCCACCGCAGGCACACGATTATTCGTCGCTATCAATGCCTGCCCCTCCTTGTTGACGTTACGCAATTGACCCTCATTTGCGCGTAACTCGCGCTCGAAAGCTTTGTGTTTCTGCAGCTTGCGTGGCAAATTGGTAAGATCTCGGTAACTCTCATCGCCGGCTATTTTGGTTTTATCGCTTAACCACACGGCAAGATCGTCAGCTTCCGCAGCGAATTTGTGGAAATCTTTGGAAGCTTGAAGGGAACGTTTGCGCTCGAAAGCACGATCTTCCACTGCTTTCCTCTTGCCTAGAACTTGATTGCGCCTATCGTCAATGCTGAGAAAAGTTTATGAAAATAATTGTTTTAGGTATGCTTTTGATTAAAAGTAAAAGGGTGGAGGGCTTACTATTTTTTATCATAGTGGTCATTGCCAATCAATTTATCGGCATTGTCAGAAAAACCTTTGAGAATTTTATCCTGAGCCATAAGGCTTTTCTCAAAGTCAAGGTGTCGCTTAAGTATGGCTTCAACTTCGTCGAGGGAGTTCTGAAAAGATAGTGAATGCATATTTTAATTGATAAATCAGAATTTGTCTGCACTTTTAGGCATAAACTTACACCCAAATTGTTATATTCAAGAAAAGCTTCGTGACTTTTTGTAGTGGCATCGATTTTGTCTGCTTCTCTGTTGAATATTTGCAATTCGACGCATTGTTGCAGCCATTTCTGTTTCTCCACCCAACCGCGGTGAATAGCGTCTTGTTCGGCCTTTAGACGTTCAATGATTTTAACGGTTTCCTCCATGTTGGGTTTTCCATCGGACAGTTGCTTGCCCAAACCTATGACCTCAACAAATTCGTTGTCGTGAGCCTTGATATCGTCGCCCAGATCGTTATGTTTTTTCAAAAGATTGTTGGCTGTTTCAACATCACGCGCAGATTCGTCTGCATTTAGTTGATCTTTCACCGAGTCTATCCAGGCAAGTAACGTCTTTGCACTGAATAACAAATAAATAAATTAGATCGAGGAGGAAAATTAATTTTATTCCAGCACATTGGAGATAGGAAAAGTTTCTATTCAGATCCAAAGCAATCCAAAGTCCATATCCAATTACCTGTTGTTGAAAATTTGCTGTCCAACTGCACTTTCGATGCGCGCTCGCAGCTCACTGCCTTTGCCGTGGACTTGCTTCCACATATCCAACACCTCCTGTTGTCGCTCTGTTACATTGTTTCGCTCAGCCGGATATGCATTCTTTACCCTAAATATCAAATTAAGCGAATAGTCGGTATAAAATAGAATTTGCATATTTAATTAACTTACGAATTTCCTAGGTAGTTCACACGATTCACCTTCTCCTCAACGGGTGCCAATTCCCGCTCTAAATTCTGATGTCGTCGCTGTAGCGCTTGCACCGTTTTTAGATCTGGGCTGATTACAGCCGTGTCCAGTTGCAGCATTTTCTCGTTCATCCAAACCTTAGCCTCATCACATGTGCGATTGAAGAGATCCACACTTGATGCTCCTTCCAAGCTCTTTTCGCGTTGCGCTTTTGCGTTATTCAGACGTTGCCAAATTTGATGTATCTGCCGTTGACGTGCAATTATTTTGTCCAGCTGTGAATGCCCTTGTCGACGGAAGTTGTCGACAGCACCATCGATTTCCTCAATGCGTTTTGATGCCGCCGACAGGTCGGTTAGGAACTTTTCGAACTTTCGTTTTGCGTTCTCCACACCTTCGCCGTCATCTGAATTAATAATGCGCTCCTTATCTTTCATCCACTTCTCGAAATCATCACACTCGCGATAGAATCCGAACAGGTGTATGGAGTCCTCGAGTAACGCATGTCGTTTCTGCGCTGTATCCTGCAACTCGTCATAGGTACTGTTTATGCGTTTCTGCCGTTTCTCTACACTATCGGCATTCTCGTTAATACTGTTCGATGAAATGCGTCGCTTCACCAGTGGCTTTGGTGGCGCCGCAATTGGCTTAATGCGTTTTACTGGCACCACTTGTCGCACCAATATAGTCTTCTTCACCTTCTGCAGAGCCTTGACCTTTTCTGCCTTTGGTACAATACATGGCACCGGTCGGGGATCAATTTCACGCACGTAATTGGCCGGCACAAAGCCTTCCAAGCCATTATCTTTCCGCACACACCACCAATCGTCGTTCGTTTTCGACTTCAGCAACATTACCTCGCCCTTATCCATCTTCATGCCCTGACCCTCGAAGGGAAACATTGAACGGACGTGTGGCAACAGTTTTGTTTCAGTGACTTTCTTATGCTCCAGCTTTTCTACCCACTCATCCTCCCACACTTCTTTCGGCACAAGACGTGTCTCGTTCACCCATTCCTCCTGTTCGACCTCGGGCATTTCTGGCTCAGCAGCTGAAAGCTAGTAAGGTACCAAGAAAAATAACTATTAATTGAAGCAGTGATGTCTTGGAAATAACACAACCAACATACCTCAAGTGTACAGATACCAGCTTTGATGAGCTTTTCGGCTTGTTGGTTCAAGTTAAGTATATCGCCCGAGTACGCATTCAACTCGCCCTGTAGATCACGGTGGCGCTGCAAAAGCGCCTGTGCTGAGGGTTCATCGGTGCCGTAGTCATTGGACTTTACCAGAGCCATTTTCTCATTTAGCCACGATTCCGCTTCGTTGGCATCGGTGTAGAATTGATACGCTTCGGCGGCGTCTTCGAGCTGGCGGCGCCGCAACTCCACCAACTCTTCCAAAGCCTTCCAGTGCTCAGCCAAAGATTCGATACGACTTTTGATATCTGGTGAACGTGGATGTTTTTCAGCGATCAACTTTTTGGCAGCGTCTGACATCTGCGTTGATTTCGGCTTGCGTACCTTTATTTCATCCTCGAGCGCCTTGTGTTTCTGCTGCAGTGAAAGAACAGCCCGCAAGTCTTTTGCTGTGATGCCTGTCTTGCAGATGCGTTGTTTGTCCACCAGCCAGCCCTCCTCGTTGTCGTAGTCTTCCATGAAATGGTAAAAGTTTCGCGCTTCCTCCAGGCATGCGCGTCGCTTTGCGCACAGCTTTAATAAACTGCAGGGAAAAATACGATACAATTACCCAATTGTCAGTGGAATATTCTTACACTTTACTCACATTGCATAGGCCTGCTCGAGTTCGCCTAGGCGCTGCACAAGTAGCGCAGCATCCTTTTGTTCGGACGTTTTGTAAGGTTGTGCCTGGCGGTTGAAGCGTTTCAATGTTTCGCCATACGTGTTCACCTGCAATTCTTGCAAAGAATGCGCCTGTAGCAACTCTTCTACACCCAGCAAATGCGGGCCCACATCTTCGGATGCAAACTGCGTCTGCAGTTCTTTAATCGCTTCGGTCGTGCTGGCGATTTCGCGCAACAAATTCATGAGCGTACTCATTTGTGACAAGTTCAAGCGTTGATTTTCAAGCAGTTCAAGTAATTTGCGCCACTTGTCCATTACCTCTGCCTCGCGTCTCTTTACACGCTCTTTGCCATGATAGTTTTCCCGCTCCAACTCATTGGCCATAGCGGTAAGATCGTTGAAACGCTCCACGCGCGCCAAAATATCTGCCGAAATGGCTTCGTGCTTCTTCAGTGTAGCGTCGACCTGTCGCAAGTAGCGTGGATCGGAGAGCACTTGGATCATCTCTTTCAGGTAGCCCTCACGCAGCACGGACTTCTTTTCGAATTTGTAATTGAGCTGCTCCAGCTTCTCTTGACGCAACAGTTCCTCGCGTAGTGCCACCTCACGATTGTGCTCAGCATACTCGAGCTGTTGCCACGCCTTCTCAATGTCGTTCACCAATTGACCTTCTTGTGGGTTGTATGGCGGCTGATTTAGTGCTTTTAACAGTGTATTGATGGTGAAATACAGCGCTTCGATTTCACTTCGTTCCTTATACCTAAACAGAAAGTGAATATTATTAAAAACGGTTAAAGCAAAGTTAATGCCGCCATTTCTTAGATTACTTACTTTGGCGGTTTTTCGATTGTTCGATACTCCTTGAACGCCAGCAGTTCTCGCTGTATGCCCTCTAACGAGTTGGGGAAATCTCGCTGTTTCAACTCCAACGTTTTTTGTCTAATCCAACTTAACAGATTTGTTGTTAGCCGTTCGTAATAGATTTTCTTGCGGTCAGCATCCATCAACTGTCCCACAATCTAAAAAAAACCGAATAATTTATAGAAGATATTAGAAAATACATAAAAACAGCAAATTATTTTTAAAGAAACAATCAATCGACTGCCCGCCATCGCTAACAGTAAAGTGGGAAAAAATAATTGTGTTCAGGTATGCACATTCTATGGGCTAGTCATTGAACCTCAGCGAGACAACAAATAGAGCGTAAAACTCTATATAATTGTTACTTTTGTAGCGCAGCTATCGAGTTGCGTCCAGAGCAAAATTGCAGTTAATAAAGGCGATTGGAATTACAGTGCGCTCATGTGAACTCGTTGTATGCAAATCGACGCCGCTGAGTTAGACTCTGTGTTGTTGTTGTTAGTGATTATTTGCACTTACATTGGCAATGCGTTTCCCGCTCTTCTGTTCATTTTTCATGCGAGCAAATGTGTGATAGTATGAAGCAACATATGTCAAGATGGACTTCTCATCCGGACGTGCAGAGTCCACATCTTCGGCATCTAATAAGCTACAAGAATTTTATACAAATGAATTCTAGTACCATGTGAGGGTTAAGCGCGTGCGAACTTACCTTGGTATACCCAGTTCGGAAGCAGCCAAATCGAAGGCATGATTCAGATTGTCAATATTCGAGTTCTTCGAGTTGACAATTGTGCTGTACTCAAAGAGATCGGGCCGATGTGAATGTATAAGCGCATTGAAGCCCAGACCCGAGCGCCAGGAGGATGTGAAATCTTGTATATTAACACCGGGGTAACCATGCGTTTTACGCTGGCACCACAACAGCAGGGCATCTTTCGCCGAACGCTTCTCGGATGATTCATTTTCTTCATCCTGCCAGTCACAAGAAAATATAATTAATAATTAAATGGAGTATAGGCGTATACAATGGATATATGGCGCCCGTTTAGTGAAGCATAACAAACGAATCGCAAAACTTACCACATCAATTTCAATTTCTTGTATTTGAAACCGCAAAATGATGGTCCAAATTAAACCCAAAATCAATCTGGGATTTCCGTCGACAATATCCTCAGCACCGATTGATTCTAAGCGAACCTGAAAGAGAAGGTATATTCTTTTTATATGTAAGTTTCTTTTAACAAATCAAAATTCCTGACTCCTTCCTGACTTGACTGAACAGACTGCCTAAAGGCAGAAATTTTGGAAAGCAACGAACATTAACAGCTTCGAAGTTTAATGTAAATCGGATATGATATCTGCGCTCTTAGGAACGTTTTCTGGTAGGCAAATATTTCCATTTGTTAGCGGATCATTATTGTTAAATACAAGGACAACACTCTTGCAGTTGAGAAGCAGCCACTTGCTTTGGAGGGTGTCATGTTGTAGATTCCGGATGGAGATATTCATTCTCCAAGCAAGTTTAACACTACTTGTACGTGGCTAGTTACATATTACTTTTTCTGAGGTTTCTCCGCTAGCCAACAAAACCTGCAGCTCAGGGAGAGTCATTTTTTAAGAAGAATTGTACCTTAGCCTACAGTGTCCTGTCAGGTATCCAGTGAGGGTTCTTAGACCCTCCAGGCTCAGTTAAAGCAGTCTCTCAGATCTACTATACTAACCCTTGAATTGTATTATGTTTTGCCATTTGACGTACGCCAGTGCTCTACCTTCTTAGAGGCTCTGCCGTTTTGTTCTACTGATCTAACTGTCAACTAGCCTTGCGTCCAAAGCTATCAATTCATTGCTGCCTAGCTGGCTGGCATGACGTTAAAGGGTACCACATTAGTCCTTCTAATATGTATACATATACGTTATACGATCACAAATTTTGGTCCATCAGTGCACCTAACTGGGACTCTTTCGCCAATCGTTGGGATTATCGCTTTACAAGAGTCTCTTACAGCAATTATTGCCTTGTGGAGACTAATAAAGGATAACTGTGGTAACATTGCGTCAGTAAATTTGACAACGTGATAATGGGGTTGCTTTTTAGACATGAGATGGCCCCCTAAGTCTCCACTTTTCATGCTGCTGGTTGAATACATACAACCGTTTGTCGATATTAAATGAATGAAATTAATGAAATTATCTAATTTTCTAAGATTAAAGGTTTTTAAGAAATCGTTGCCAAATTAAACAAAAATCTTTCATCTAAGAGACTATCGGGTTATCTGGAAAAATTTCCATACAGTTTAGAAGAACCAAATATGTACACTTCAGAATAATAATCAAACAACTAGATAACCTAACAGCCAGCAAAGTGTGAACACCTACAATGTACATTCATCTACAGTTTTAAATGTTAATATTGTTTTTTTGGTTACAAACTTTTGAAAGTAAGATTTTGATACTTTCTCGGGGAAAAGCAATATGTAACTCTATGCGGTAAATCCATACGTTTAACGAATACATAAATACGAGAAACAAATGAAGTTAAGTGAAAACTGACGTGACAGCAGCTAGGTGCACCACGCTGATGACAGCCAAATAGGTACAAAACAAGTGAGCAGCAGATAAACCGTTAAGTAAAAACTTTCACTAATACGAGTACGCAGGGATATGAATATATGTACAAGTATTACATACATACATATGTGCATATGTTACTTACAGCTTACTTACAGCTTTGATAACAAACTCTCATCGGCAAACAAACTATTTAAACATTCATGCATATGTACATACATACATACATAGGTATGTATCTACATACATTGGTACTCCGCCCCATCATTTCTCTCCTGCTACTTAACATTTAAAGTGCTAACGGGCAAACCACCGGCCGCATCCCATAACAATAAACGCTAATCGAAGCACTGTTTTAATTAGATTAAGTTAAGTAAAAATCCGTTGCAAGACATACATACATACATAGCAGCGAAAATTGGGGCCACACAATTTGCAACAACAGCTGAGTGCATCGGCAGCAAAAATAGAAACACACATACAAACATACATACATATGTACATATGTGTATGTATGCGGTCTGCATAAATGGGCGAGACCGGCTTGGCAAGAAGTGTGTCGCACGCTACGCGCCAACGCTTCAAGCCAACTGTAATGGCACAGCCGTGAATATAAAATTGTAGAAACCTTGTAGCAAATCGGACTGTCTCACGACTACATAGCTCTGAACGAGACTACTCTTGGAGGTGGATGTGAAAAGAGCTACTTATTAACTCTTCAACACATCGCTGCACACCAGTTCTGTTTTATGAATTGTGAACATCAAATTTTACATCTCACTATGGGAAGTTCGACCCATTTTTTGGCCAAAAATTAATTACGGCTAAACATGTAGATGATTTAAAGAAAAACGATTTTTATTGACTTGCATATGATTTTCCGTATTTTTGCAAAAACAGAAAAAAAACTTAACCCTTGTCGACGGAGGGGTCTAAAGGGGTAACTTCTTAATTTTAAAGTATTGAAGAAAAAATGCCAGTTACAGATTATACCGTCGCTATTTTAGTTAAATGCTGGAAAATTTTCATTTGAAGGCTCTGGGCGATACATATATTTTTCTCACAAAAAAAAAATAAAAAATTATGACAGGCTATTTTTCATGGCAGAAATACACCCGGAGGTTTGCCATTGCCTGCCCTATAGTATTGCTAACATTAAAAGATCATACGGCCAGATTAAAACCATTTTAGAGAAAAACCAAATTTATTAGGTATTCATGTATTTGCACTTGATATGAAAACCGGTGATAATAAGCAGAGAAGAATTTTAACTAGAAAAGGTTTTGATCTCGGTTCATACCAAGAAATGCCAATAAAAGCATGAATGCTGATGGGAGGAAGAATTCATTGAAATTAAATATATCAACGAAATTCAATTTCTGCTTATAGGTCTGCCTCCTTATCTATTCGCGCTGTTTAGGATTCTCTACTTAGTATAATATTTGTATGTATGTTCTTTGTGGGTATGACTAAAACAAAGCAACTTGGTTTCGTAAATTCCAAAAAATCGATTAAAAAGATTGAGAACCAAGGCGTAACCGTTTTTCTTCATAAAAAATATATGCCTTTTTTAGGGCCGGTTGTTCAATGTCTGGTTATCACTACTTGCCGGTTAAACATCATTATCGACGATTTCGACATCATGCATATAACATGTGATCGATAAAGCAGTCATTGTATCTAACCGGAGCTTCTACCTCCGATTTTTGCTAATCAGACATTGAACAACCGGCCCTTAATGTTTTACAACTAATCGGACGGATATTTTCTTTCTAACGCACAGTGGTCAGAGAGTGACAGAAAGCCCAAGACAATGAGAGGCTGGAATTTGTTAATGCAGTGTTTTTGCCTAAGAATGAAGAAGTATAGAAAATTATTGGTGAACTTTCGCGTCCGCTACCTAAGGAGGCAGACATGATATATTCGATATTATCCGGTTTAAAGATAATTTGGTTTTTATGTGGTAGGACAATTTTGACCATCTTCCAGATTATACATTTTCTGGTTAAAACAAAGCCATAAGACGAATTTCATTAAAATCTGATAACATATACAATTTCCCCCCCTCTAGTATTGTGGGCGGGCGTGGCAGTTTTCCAATCTATGCGATTTTTCAGATTTCTTTATTCCTAAGCAAAGTTAAAAAATTACAGCAAAATCGAAGCAATATTAGTACTTTTTGCCATATTTTTTATGGAGTTATTCCACTGCGCAACGCTTTGTTTAGGACTCAATAGCTCCAGGCTAAATTTCCTCGTTGAGGAAAAAAATTTCTGGTAATGGAATAAAGGATTGTCTTCACAGAGATTAGTCAGGCTCGAAGCTTATAAACCTTAACTGACTTATAAACCTTAACCGCTGTACAGTTTATACTATCTTCTAATTAGGGTAAATGCTATTCGTGTTAAGATAAGATTTAGAATACAAAAGCTTTACAGAGCTATCAATTCAGATGCAATTGAAGATTTAATTTTTATATTTTGCTGCATGCTTTGCTTGATAAATTCGTATAAATTTGTACATATGTATGTATGCACGCATAAACAAATAAAAGGTTTTGCGGCCAAACAGCAAAATGTATTTGTACCTACATACATACATACATACATATCGATGGTCCTCTGCACCAACGACACAAGTCAAAATTTCATATATTTCTGTAGAATCAATTAAAGATTTTGTGTTTCGTAATTTAGCAAAAGTATTACTGGGAACGTAACTATTCCGGATTGGTTGCAGTCATTCTGTAGGGAAAATTTGTAATCTTTGTAAAAGCATGCCCAACCTATCGAGAGTTTTTAACTTACATATGTCAATATTCACGATAAATGTGAGACAGGAGCCACTGTTCAGTAGTAAGCGTTCGCTATTTCGGTTTTGTGACAAATGGCAAAACTGCGCCTCTGCCGGTTCGGTAACAACTAAGTCGTATGTCGATTTGCCACAGAAAAATATGGTTATTTATAAAACTAATCGTGAAATTTTGAGTTGTGCCGTTATTGCAGAGGACCATCGATATGTATGTACATGTGTATGTATGCACGTATGTATGTATGTATGTAATTAACACATCTTGGCTTTTGCCGCTTAACGTACGTCTATCATGGTGCCATCGGTGAATGTGAACTTTCAAAAAAAAAAAAATACATACATACATACATGCATAGCTAATATAATGCAGAAGTTACACCAAAGCTAAGCCAAATAAAAAGAAACAAAAGAAATGGCAGGAGGTGTGTAAATGGCGCACACGTACTAACCGACTTACAACCCAGTGATAAAAGTAGTAATGCATTACATGCGTGATAAATACGGTGACCAGATTTCTGTGGATAAAAATCGGGACATTTTTAATGCATCGAATCCGAACATACAATTTTGTTTTTAGAATAAAAAGACCTAACAGCTTTTGATACAGTTTTATTTAAAACAAAACAAAGAGAAAAAACTTGAAAAAATTATCGCAAAAATGTATACACAAAATATATACGGTGGCGAGAATGTCAATGGGGAAGAGACATTTTGTCGAATTTCGGCTACTTTTTTTGTTAAATTTTTTTTTATGAAAATATAGCTTACTGTCTAAAAAAAAAAGAGAAAATGAGCAATATCTTCCACAAAAAAATTTA